TTACAATGTCAGCTTGCTTATCCCTTTACCTGCACTTTTTGACGACACTCATGACATGGTTGAAGCGTGATTTGTCCGTTTTTATTTTATTTCTGAAATATTCATTTATCGGCCATTATAACTGCCGATACCGTTATTTTAGCAAAAAAACCTAATATCGGCCGATATATCGGTCTGGCTCTAGTAACTGTGTATAGCTAGTATACCTAGTATAGCTTACTAGGGCTGTCACTTTACGTTCAAAAATCGATTGCACAATCGATCGGACCAACCAACACAAATATCGAAAATAGGGAGTCGATTTTAACGTCCTTTTCCCTTTTTTAGGTGTTTTAGGTGGACAGATCAATACAGGACACAGAACAAAATAATGTCTTTTCTGTTGACCAAATGCTTATTAATATTCGCTATTACTTCAATGCTAGTGAACAAGCGCGGCGTTATTTGTTGCGTAATGACTTGTGTGTTCAAGTAAGCCAGAAATGCGCAGATTCGGCGATACGCTGTATTTAATATATCATGAGGATCACGAGTTGCGTATTTGCACAGATTTGTCTTAGAAACATAGAAACGGCAGATTGGCTCGTGGTTTGACGGCGTTTCCCGACATAGTTCATTTTTACCCGCATTTGGCGAGTCGAGAGTGTGTAAATCTCAATCCCTGAATGTCATTGTGCTGAAACTTCACGCCATTAAATCATCAGGAATATTGCTGACTTGTGTGTCTCTTTACGCTCGTCCTAATGCCTGTTAGGTGTCCTTGGATTTGCCTATGGAAATATCTTTAGATCTTTAGACATGGAAAACTGATTTTACAATCGATTCAGTGTAGGGCTGAACGATTAATTGCATTTGCGATAAAATCGCGATATGATGAAACGCGATTTTGTAATCGCAAGAGCTGCGATTACACTGGTCACGTGACACGCGAGAGAAAAGCAGTCTGCAAGATAAAGCATCAACTTGCCACGCTACGCGGTCTGGCGTTCAGAAAAGAACAGTTTATTTTTAATGTATGTGATATTGTGTTATTTATTCTCTCCTCTCCTCAACAATCCTGGATCGATTCAGAGAATTTCAGAATCGAGTCTGAGCTTAACTTTTAAACACAGATGCGTGATGACGCTGCGCGTGCTTTAGAAACGAACCGTGTTCTGAATCTGCTTGCTTCTATTTTCTCGCTCTCTCTCTTCCTCACTCACACACACACGACACCGCTCGAACCTTACAAAACATAGTAACGTTATTTTATAAAGTTCGGGACTGAACCGAATTACAAGACATTCGCGGGCTTCAATGAACAGGTTTTGCCGCTTTGCTTGATGTTATAACGTTACACTTGCAGAGTTGCAGTGCGCGTTCTCTCCCGCGGGTATTTTCTTTATAAATGCTTCACAGAGGCATTATTTATGTCTTTTGGAATGCAGTTGGCTTATATATTAAAACCATGAAAATCACTGAGAAGGCTGCTTTCATTTTAAAATACTAACGCGTGCTTTGTGAAGAGCGCTCGTGCATGCGGCCGTGAGCGACTCATTGGTAAATGTACTTGCATGTCAAAATGCTTTTATGACGCGAAATTAATGTAAACACGGTCAGTTATATCTTAAACCAACAGGACAAACCACATTTACAATTTCAAAAGAGATATGCATTAGTGTGAATGCAGCTTATCGTATCTGGGGAAATCATTCCAGCTCTTGAATAAAAAACATTCAGACAGCCTACTTTAAATACTGAGAGTACTCTTTGTTTATTGCTTGTAATGTTTTTTTTTTTTTGTTTTTTTGTTTCTCTTTATTTACTAGCTTTTATATTTTAAAGCTATATTATTTTATAAAGCCTATTTAAAATTCTTAACATGTAATTGGTTTAATTAAATGTTTTTTTTAATATTTATTTTTTAAAGTATGTGTTTTTACACATGTAATTAAATACATATTTTAAGAGTTAAGATTAATTAATAAGAAAAAAAGTAGATCGGATCATGAGCTATCTAAAGATTCCCATCCCTACTGTACAATGATTTATTGCTTGTCTTTGTCGACTAATACAGAAGGTAAATAACTTTTTTTTTTAAATCGCATATTAAATCGCAATCGCAATATTGGTTAAAAAAATCGCAATTAGATTATTTTCCAAAATCGTTCAGCCCTAATTCAGTGAACACTTGTGTCTCAAATCAAACTGGATTTTACAGCCCTATAGCTTACAGGAATGGATTTACATGACAGAAAACTAGTTCTTCCATTTAATAGCAAACCGTATTGAGCAGTGTTGTAGTCGAGACCACCTCACTCGAGTCCGAGTCGACACCGAGACCAGAGAGAGTCGAGTCCGAGTCAAGACCGAGTCCATAGAGTCGAGTCCGAGACTAGAGACAGTCGAGTCCGAGTCGAGACCGAGACCAGTGAGGGTTGATTACCTAATTTACTTTTATTTACTTAGAGAAATCCTTTTTTTTCTTTTTTTTTTACTGAATTTACTTAGAGTTTAAAAAATATGATCAGTTTAGGGTAAAAAGGCCACATAGTAGGTGGTGTTAAAAGTAATTTTATTACAATTTGTCATGCGCAGTTGCGCACTAGAAAAGCACCAATCACTGGGCGTGTCAATCAATTTAAAGAAATATTTTATTAACATACATTAATAATCATGAAAAATATTTTGAATTGAACTCGAGTGGACTCGGGAATAAGTCCGAGTCCTAAAAAAAAAAATGTTCGAGTACGAGTCAATTCCGAATCCAAATGGACACGAGTCCATGACAAGACCAAGACCATTAAAATATGGTCTCGAGACCGAGTCCGAGACGAGTCCGAGTCACGAGTACTACAACACTGGTATTGAGCCCTCTAAACAGGCCATATTCTGCTGCTGTGTGAATGTGACACACTCAGAAACACACTAGGCCTCATTCAGAGTGAATGGCACGTTCCTAATCAGCGGAGTCTGCGAGGCCCACTGAGCTGTTCCACATGTGCAGGAGGAGCGTCAGATCAAGTCCGAGAAGGACAAAGCCTCTTTCTGCACACAGGTGTATGCGAGTGAAGTGTTAAAGCGATCTGCCCCTCTCCGAGCGGCACGCTTGAGTGAGAGTCTTTGTGCTGATGCAGCGTTTGCCACGTCTGGCACTTGCTCTGTTTGTTTACGTCTGGTTTGTAATTGAAAAGGCCGTTTAGGGCGGTCAATCGTTACGCACACGCATTGTTTGAGCTTCAAAAATCTGTCATAAATATGGGTTTCCAATGGGAAAGATACCTGACACATGTTAATTATACTCTTAAACTTAATTCTTAAACATTTGGCTGTCATGGTAGGATGTGTATGGCATTTCTGCTTAAAAAAAATCCGGGGGGAAAACTTTTTTACCTTAATTTATTTAATAATATATTTTAAAATAGTAAAGGCATTTTCCGAAGACTTGTAATTAGTGTTTGTTGGTTTTAGGGCATTTTAGGTTTCTTTGGTGGGTTTAGGGTGTTTACAGTGGGTTTTAAGCCATTTTAGGGTGTTTTTGGAGGATTTAGGGCATTTTAGGGTGTTTTGAGGAGGTTTCAGGGCATTTTAGTTGTTGTTTTTTTGGTGGGTTTAGGGCATTTTAGGGTGTTGTGGGTGGTTATGGCATTGTAGGGTGTTGTTTGATAGTTTTAGGGTGTTGTGGGTGGGTTTTATGGCATTTTAAGGGATGGTTTATGGTATTTTAGGGTGTTTTGAGTGGGGTTTAGTGCATTTAGGGTGTTGTGTGATAGTTGTAGGGCATTTTAGGGTGTTGAGGGTGGTTCTATGGCTTTTTAGGGTGTTGTGGATGGTTTTATGGCATTTTAGGGTGTTTTTAGTGGGTTTTATGGCATTTTAGGGTGCTGTGTGATAGTTTTAGGGCATGTTAGGGTGTTGTGGATGGTTTGATGGCATTTTAGGGTGTTTTGAGTGGGTTTTAGGGCATTTTAGGGTGTTTTGAGTGGGTTTTATGGCAATTTAGGGTGCTGTGCGATAGTTGTAGGGCATTTCAGGGTGTTGTGGATGGTTTTATGGCATTTAGGGTGTTTTGAGTGGGTTTTAGGGTATTTTAGGGGTTTTTTTGTGGATTTAGGGCATCTTATGGTGTTGTGAGTGGTTTTATGGCATTTTAAGGTGTAGTGTGATAGTTTTAGGGCATTTTATGGTGTTGTGTGATAGTTGTAGGGCATTTTAGGGTGTTTTGAGTGGGTTTTAGGGCATTTTATGGTGTTGTGTGATAGTTGTAGGGCATTTTAGGGTGTTGTTGGTGGTTTTTATGGCATTTTAGGATGTTGTGGATGGTTTTATGGCATTTTAGGTTTTTTTTGGTGGGTCTAGGGCATTTTAGGGTGTTTTGGAGGGTTTAGGGCATTTTAGGGTATTGCGGGTAGTTTTATGGCATTTTAGGGTGTTGTGGGTTGTTTTATGACATTGCTAGTTGGTTGTTAGCGTGTTGTACATTGTAGGTAGTTTTAGGGTGTTGTGGGAGGTTTAGGACATTGCTATATGGGTTGCTAGGGTGCACTTGGTGCATTCTCTTTGGCTTCTTAACATCTAGTGTAAATGGACTCCTAAATGTCTCTGTGATCTTCTGGTCTGGTCTCTTCCACTGGTGCATTTGATGACTGATGATGACCGTACACGTCTTCTCAGAAACACACACATGATTTGAGAAATCATTCATTTCTGGGATTAGTTATGTGCAACTTAGTTGTGATGTTTTAACCAGTAACCCACCCACCCCCCCGGCTGCTTATCGACCCTGATTTGGCCGTTGTAGGGGCTCTAATTGTTTGGTTTCACAGTCTTTAGTCTGCGTGGAACTAATTCTGTCTGGGCATGCAGCTTAATTCTTCACACTGGCCTTAAGCTGCGTCTCAAAGCCCCCCATCCAACAGCAACACCCCGTCCCCCCAAACCACATTACATTCTTATCCTCCTTTACTTAGTGCACAAACCCCTCAGTGTTGGAGACACTGAGTAATTCCTCCAAGATCCATACGCCATTCTTGTGAGGTTTAGCCGTTCTGGCGTTGATGCCGGCGCTGGAAGTCGAGCCACGTGTCAGCGAATCAGCAGAAATCGGCTTATGGAACGACCTAAATGTTGATGTGTTACAGAGGTGAGCTTCACAGGAAACAATAGGGTGCTACTGTACCAAATATAGAGTGGGTTTTTCTTTTGCACTATGGAGTTGCCGTGTTACTTTAGAATTATTTACATACTATTACCCCTCGTGTGCTGTTAGCTCATTTTTGACTGAAAAGTTTTACGTTTTGTGTTTTTTTTTTTGTGTGCATTTTTTACTTCATCGGAATGGTACTAAACTTGGTCAAGGTTATGACCTTTGCTGTGTGAACACAAAAAAATCACGGACATAATTTGAAAAAGTTAAAATCTCTCACTTGTATTGTTCGTAAAATGGTCAAATATGAGCACATTGGAAGCGATTTTCATCCAGTGGAAGCGTGTGGTACTGCGCCCAAGATCTCAACCTCAAATTAGGAACACAGCTTTATGACTTTTTGTACGATTTATGGCTTTTTTTTTCTCTCACACAGTGTAAAACATGTTTAGGAAAATGTGTATTTCATATCAAATTATTTTTTTAAGCATTTTTCATAATAAACTTTCAGAATTTAGTATTTATCGATATTATAATTTATGAGAAAAATATTTTAATATTTTCAGTTTTCAATTAAATTTAAGTTTTAGTAATTTTGTTATGTGCTTTCAACATTTTTTTATATTTATATTTATTCAGTTGCAGGAATTTTAATACTTTTTTTAAATTAATAATAATAGTACTATATTTAATGTAGTTGCAACATTTCTAATTTTCGTTTTATTATTTTATTTTATTTCTGCTTTATATCAAATTACAAAAATGTTTTTTTAATAATTTTAATTTTACTAACAATAACAACACTAGCCGACAATACCATGTTATTCTTTACTTGATATGCTAGTTTTAATCATTCAGTACTTTAATTTGTTTCAGATTAGCATGTAATACCATCTTTAACTATGCTTTTTTATGAGGGGAAATTGCTAAAAATCTGAAATATGAGAGTTTGATGATGACAGATGTGTTGTGAAGGTTAATGGCCGGTGTTCATGGTGAAATCTGTTATCAATTTTGTTTGAAAAACAGGTCGATTGAGTTTCTCCTGTGCGTGTTTAGCGGCTTGTCTTGATTAGCAGTGGAAATAAGAGCTGGAAGAACGTCTTGTGTAGCGTGCGCTCGCTTCGATCACACTTCGCTACGTCTGATTCACAGGAGCATTGTGACTCTGGAGAGCATCACATTTTTTTTTGTATTATTTTTTATTTTAATAAAATAAGATAAGTGACAAACATTTCAGTTATGTTTAGATTTTTAATCTTATTTTTATTTTATTATATTTTATTTTAGATTTACCACCAATAACAAGCTCAGTTATTCTCAATTATTCCCAATGTTAAGGTTTGAGAACCTCTAAATCATTTAAATAATATTTGTCTTTATTAAACCTGCCGTTTTGACATTCATAGGCATTCAAATGACATAAGCAGCCAATGCAAAGGCACATGCTTACATCATGAGGTGTTTATAATGTGAACTATGAGGATTGTCATATGTAAGTGTTCAGTTTTACACTGCTGATATTAATACCAGCACGGACGAGAGTTCAGAGGTCAGGATGAACACAGAGCAGGGGGTCTGCACCTTATTTTCATCTTTTTCGAGCTTTTTAAAGCACGACTGACAGCATTTTTCCATCTCTGCGGTGAGATGTGTTAACCAGACCCTTATTTAACTGGGTTACGTCTGGAGAGACTTCACATGCAAACGCTTTTAACTTTGAAGTGCATGAACTGCAATCTTAACGATGCATCAAGGGTTAAAGTTTGTTTGTAAAATCATGACGTCCCGTTTGAGGGTTGAAACTCTGCTAGTGAAGCTAGTTCTTCTCATTCACGTCACGGATAGGTTCCCATAGCGATTTTTAGAAAAAAAGGATGTTTCCTTGACTGTTGTTTGCGGAAGTGTGTGTGTGTGTGTGGTGCTGTATCGTAACCTAGATATTATTTTTAGCTTGTATGAGGCAGAAATGTTTTGTCTGAACAGCATCAAAGCAATAAAGTAAAGCACAAGTTCTGGCACGCAAACATCTGCTGCTTCTGCTTCTCATTCTCTGTCCCAGTCAACTTTATTTTATTTTATTTTTTTAATACTCTATTTTCAGCTTTTCAGTTTACAAAAACAAAAACATAAAAACAAGTAGACTAAAAAAAATAAATAAATAAAAGTAAAAAAAAAAAATCCCCCTCCTTTTTATTATGACATATATATATATATATATATATACAGAGCATTGATATGATATATATATATATATATATATATATATTTTATACCTGGCCTTTGCCACATATATGATTGTCACAAATCTGATCTGAAAATCTGAAAAATCTGAAAATAAATAAATAAATCTATTATATTTAAAAATAAAAATAAATATACTTGGCTTTGTCACTTATGCCATAAAAAATAATAAATAAATAAAAAATATTATTATTATTAATATATTTTTTTAGATTAAATCAGATGTTGCATAAGTGATCAGATAAGTGGCAAACATTTTATTTTATTTTTCTGCCTACTATTATTTTTTTAACATTAGACAATTTGCTTACTTTTTAATAGTCTTGTGTTATTCTTCATAATCTTTAATCGAGATATAATTATTAATCTCTGACACAACTTTTCTTTTGAGATGATGTCAGATGATATAACCAATGTTTTTTTTGTCGATTGACTTTAATAGATTATCCTGTTGTCACATGAAGTAAACTTGACTGTGTGTTGGACTGTTTTAGTGTCCCCTCCAGTCCTTCTCACTAATAAGTGTGTCCACTAGAGTCATTCAGTAGGCATTTCCACCTGGTACACACACACACACACACACACACACTCAGACTTTAATCTGTTTTTGAAGACGGTGAGGTTTGATCTGTTTGCTGACAACACAAGTTCAAGTGTTTGAAGTTTTCCCGCTCTCTTTCTCTCTCTCTCTCCATCTCTCCCTAAAACAGATACACGCACATACACACACACACACACACACACACTAACCCTCTAGGATCCTTAACTCTAACGCAGAGCAGAAAAAATCACAGCTCTCCCAAAACAAAGGAAAAAATGAAGCCTGATTGTATACCGTTATGTTTTGACATTATTTGCATGATAATTAATCACATATTCAAATTAATTTTAATTTATTATTACTTTTAAAACTTTTTTAAAAACTTTTTATTTAACTTTTTATTTTTTTTAACTTTATTTTTTTAAATTTCATGTTGATTCTGATTACTTTAAAATACTCATTTATATTTAAATTAAGTATTTAATAATAGTAATAATCATTCTTATTAATTATACAAATAATTATTATTAGCCTATTATTATTTAAAAATCTTATTTATTTTAATTTAATTTACAATTTAAATAACATTGTTTTTTCCACATTAATGTAAAATGAATGAGATCATTATTGCGGAAATTAAAAATGGGGGTTTATTTGTCATGAAATAATCTGTGTGTGTGTAACGTTGTTTTTGGGGTGAGCATGGCATGTTTTCATGGCATTCACCCTGGAGAAGCTGAAATGAGACACACACACACACTTGTTCTGTTCATCTCCTGACGTTATCTTTCATCTCCAGCGCTTTAATTGACCGCGTTTCTGTTATTGTAGCTGTGAGTCGTTTTTATGTGAAATATTAATCAGGGTTTCCATTCATGAAATCTCCGCAGCTCCACGTTCCTCTTTCAAGGGCTTCATTCGGCCTGGAAAAATATGCGTTGTGAGCGTGCGGAATAAAATATCGGCGTTAAGTGCTGCAAAACTTTCCTAATCAAACAAAGCTGCATTAAACAGCGCGGGCTTGCAGCGGGAACGCTTCCAGAAATATTAACTTTGGCCGCGGTCCAGAATCCTCCACACTCCTGCAGGCCTGGGGACTCTGCGGTGGAGTGTGTAACGTGTGGAGGTGTGTGTGTGTGAGTCAGGCAGCTGGAGGTGTTGGCAGACGCCTGTCTCTCACACTGATGCGCCGCTGGAGGTGGGAATGTGTTGAACCGGTGACACGTTAGACTCGCGGACGACATCTGGACAACATCCAACAGCGTTTGAGCTCAAACATGAAGTCTGAGTGTTTCCTCAGGCTTTACCCTTCTCAGTGTGTGTGTGTTGCGCTTTATGCCACAGCTGCTTGGGAATATTAGAGCGCTGGAACTGGGAAAAGTTGGGGATGTTTTTAAAGCATTTCTATTTCAAACTTTATTAAATGAAAAGTGCAGTTCTATTCTATTCTATAGCGCAGCAGTCATTCGATTCATCAAAGTACACTCTCAGAAAAAAAGGTACAAAAGCTGTCACTGGGGCTGTACCTTTTCAAAAGGTACAATTTTGTCAATTTTATGTGCTAATATGTACATTTTAAGTGTTAATATGTACATTTTAGGTGCTAATATGTACATGAAGGTACTAATATGTACATTTTAAGTGATAATATGTCAATTTCAGGAGCTAATATGTACATTTTAGGTGCTCATATGTACACTTAGGCACTAATATGTACTTTTTAGGTTCTAATATGTACAGTTTTCGTGATAAAATGTCAATTTCAGGACCTAATATGTACATTTCAGGTGCTAATATGTACACTTAGGTACTAATATGTACATTTTAGGTACTATATGTACATTTTTGGTACTAATATGTACATTTTTGGTGCTAATATATCCATTTCAGGAGCTAATTAATATTTTTTTTCTTACATGCATGTGTGTGCATTTATATAAATACAAAATAATTATACTCAGTGCACACACATATTATTTATATTATGTAAACTCAAACTTTTATTTTGGATGCGATTAATCGCGATTAATCGTTTAACAGCCCTACTAAAAAGTCAAATTTGTAACTGTAAAATATAAACACATTATGGCAAATGCAGTTTGCATCTTTATAAATACATTAATGGAACATACGGCTGCCTAATTAATACTTATAAATCAGTGAATATTGGATTATGAGCATGCGCATTAAAAAAGCAAATGCATGACTTGCA